TTGGAGCCACCTCAGAAGTGGTTGGTGGACGTTCCCACCTTCAGATGATGTCTAAAGAGTTGGAGCCACCTCAGAAGTGGTTGGTGGACGTTCCCACCTTCAGTCTAAAGAGTTGGAGCCACCTCAGAAGTGGTTGGTGGACGTTCCCACCTTCAGATGATGTCTAAAGAGTTGGAGCCACCTCAAAAAAGGCTGGTGGACGTTCCCACCTTCAGATGATGTCTAAAGAGTTGGAGCCACCTCAGAAGTGGTTGGTGGACGTTCCCACCTTCAGATGATGTCTAAAGAGTTGGAGCCACCTCAGAAGTGGATGTGGTGGTACGTTCCCACCTTCGATGAAGTCTAACGAGTTGGGGCCACTCAGATAGTGGTTGGTAGGACGTTCCCACCGTTTCAGATTGATGTCTTCTTAAAAGAGTTGGAGCCACCTTCAGAAGTGGTTGGTGGACGTTCCCACCTTCAGATGTTGTCTAAAGAGTTGGAGCCACCTCAGAAGTGGTTGGTGGACGTTCCCACCTTCAGATGATGTCTAAAGAGTTGGAGCCACCTCAGAAGTGGTTGGTGGACGTTCCCACCTTCAGATGATGTCTAAAGAGTTGGAGCCACCTCAGAAGTGGTTGGTGGACGTTCCCACCTTCAGATGATGTCTAAAGAGTTGGAGCCACCTCAGAAGTGGTTGGTGGACGTTCCCACCTTCAGATGATGTCTAAAGAGTTGGAGCCACCTCAGAAGTGGTTGGTGGACGTTCCCACCTTCAGATGATGTCTAAAGAGTTGGAGCCACCTCAAAAAAGGCTGGTGGACGTTCCCACCTTCAGATGTCCACCAAAAACTCCCGTGCAAAAAGCATATAAGAATCGCGCCCGTGCAGGAACCGTCAGTTTGCTGCGTAGATCTGCCTATCTCGTGGGCTTGAGTAAATCGATTCCGCAAGTCGCAAAAAAAGGTCGGGGGGGCTTTCCTTGGCTCCGGGTTCCAACTCTGCCTTCAGCTTTTGGAACTGTATCATTTGCCACTGGCTTCGATCTTTTGGCCCGATTTGGCCAAAAGCACACCGGTGGGTGTGTGTGTGTGTGACCTTGCGGGTGATTGTTGTTATTTGCCTGTGTGTTGCTCGTGTTCTCCCCCTTTTTAAGGAGCAGTGAGGCTCTGTGTTAAGGCCTTTGAGGCTTAGGACAAGGAACAAGTCTCTTGGGATACTTTGATACCCACAAAGGGAAGTGAGCCAACTGCTTCTCGTGTTCTGCCAGGAACACAAAACAGCATTTGCCATTTGGAAGAGCTGTGAGAATGCTGTCGTCCATTCGCTGGTTGATTGCCGCCCGAGGGTTTTGAAGGGAATCTATCACAAAGGGAAGCATTTTGGTGCATTTTGCCAACGGCTGTGAGGACTTTAACTTTTGGATCCAACTAATGGGTTTTCCGTATTAAACCACCAAAAGCTAAACTTTTAGCAGGGGAGCAGAAAGCAACCGAGGGAAGTATGTGTAAATGTTTTTTTTTTTTTTCTGGGGGCGAATCCACAAATGGAGGTTGGGTAAATAAATAGGGGCCCTCAATGAGTAGCCTGCCACATGTTGCGAAAAGAGCAGCGCTTCACCGAGAGGAAGCCATTCAACTTCCGGCTTAGATGCAATGCTGAAACCCGGGCCGAAGTAGAACCTAGTTGATTTTGCTTGGGGTAGTCCCCTTTTGGTGAAGACTCAGACCACTTTTGGAGGGGACACCTCCTAGGACGGGTTTATGAATGCTCACTCCCTGAGCTCCTCGTTGCACTTGTTTCGACCATAGTGGCAGACACAAATGGCTGCTCAAGAAGCCGGAATTCCAAAATGGCTTGCCCGATCGGTAAGTGAAACCATGGACCAAAACCTGCGGTTGCCCCTCCGATTGTTTAATTTGTTTTTTTGGGGGCAGTCAACTCAAGGAGTGAATGCTGTTTGTTGCTCGTATGAACGCAAGCTTAGACATGCGATGACATCTGCATTTAACGCGCCATGTGAAGTGATCCTCAGTTGCCCAAAGCCGACCTTTCGAGCTGTTGGTTTTCCCATGGGTCCATTTAGTCAAGGCTCCCAAAGATGGTCACCTTTTGTTTCCAGATCCAACAGGTGTTCCTATATTTCCCTTTTTGGTGGTTGTAAACATCACCTTTTTGGCCCATGAAAGGTGGGTATCCCTTGGTGGGGGTGATGTGTTAAGGGCAAATATAGGGAGCCCTGTCCAAACAAACTGGGCAAGTGACCGGACAGGCAGAGAGAGATCCTTTGTGATCCTAGAGAGCCGTTTGTCTCCGCTTCGGTGAGGACTTAGACACGGCCATCCGCCGGCGTTTTGAGAAGCGGATCTACATCCCCTTGCCGGCCAGCGAACGGGGCGCACGTCCAGGGCACGTTATTTGTTTTTTCCTGTTCGCCCACGTTTCTTCAAGTGACCCAAAAGGAAACCAAAAGAAAATGAATCGTCTTTGGATTTTGCACCACCCCTCAAATCGCACAGTGCGATTTTTTAGACTGCCCTTTGAATCAGTTTCATCAGGGTGCGTTGATTGAAGGGCTGCAGGGTTTGTGCCCGCTCGCCCGCAAAGCCGCCCACGCCGCCCACACCTGTTCCGGCATTAGGGAAGCAGGGAAGCACTGTGCGGCCTGGATGGCTTGAATCGCTTCATGCACGGGGAACACCAACATGCTGCACTGACATGCGACTCACCCTTGACTGGGCTAGACTTAGGGGATACATTTTACATTTTACCAGTGACTCAAAGTGAAGCAAACAATACAATATACATTCTATAACTGGGCCGAACTCTAATCATGTTGAGTTGCTGGACAGTGTACTGGTTCAGTGACAAGCAAACCGTAAACAGTTTGCTTACCTTTTCCGGCCAGTTCACTCGAAGCACACACTGAACTTGGGCTTCCAGGTTTGGATTTCGGGTTTGGTTCTGCAGTCACGACTTGTGACTCTGACGCAGGAGGTGGAGGCGAGAATTCGGCTTCTGACGCTGCATTTGGGCCCGACGCCCAGAGACGCGGAAAAAAAGGGCACAACAACGCGGGTGCCCCTATCATTCCCTGCTTTCACTCAGACCCTAGAGGGAATTGAAGGAGGTCACACGAGGTGCTGAAAGGGGCGCTCGGGTACCTCAGGTAAGCGGCACATAACCATGGATATAACCCACAAAAGCCATGGTGATAAGTCTCGGTTCAGTGAGTTATGACCAGGCTTTCTATCGACTGACTAAGTACCCGAGCGCCCCTTCAAGTGGTGTTTTTCCGGCTTGCTCGGGTCTCGCAAGTGGCGGGAGCCCACCGCAATTCGCGGCACCGAGGCGACACGCCGCATAGCTGCACCGAGGAGGAGCCTGGAATTGCTCGCACAAACGCGTGTGAGCATAGGAGACCTCCAAAACGCGGCACAATCCTGTTGAGGGCCCAGTTCTTGCAATCAAGAAGGCCACCACTGTTTGGTTTTCGGACCTAGCCCTGCTTCGACTACACGAAGGCGATGCGGTTTTCAACTTGGATCCGTGGCCATGTTTTTGTGGGTTGGTCGAGTTTAAGGACTTGGAGTTTTCTTCCCACCAAAAAAAAGAAACACAGGCGCCACTGGGCAACTGGGCTTCAGCTACGGACCACAGGGAACCCCCACCTTTTTTTTCTGTTTTTCCCATGGAAATCCGCTGGGCATCAAAGGGCTTGGCGGCTTAGCCCCGTTTTGAGGAGGCTTCCTCTTCGGTTCCGTCGCAACGCATCGCCGAAGTCGACTCGTACATCAGGATTTGAAGGCCATCGGCGCCCGCACGGAGGGGTTTAGTGGCAGTGGCCCAAGTGTCCGGGTCAAGGACAAGCCCACGCTGATTCATGAGGCCCCTTCATTTCCATTTGCTGAAAAGAAGCTACATGACATTCCTCTAAAATTGTAAGGTTTTGGACGCTAAGACAATAAGGTCCTGCAATAAGGCTGAGCAAAAACATCGCCTTGCGTTTACCCATGGATTAGTCCATGTGAAAAAGAAAGGCATGGTAGATTCTGATTAACGGCAGTGGTCGAGGCCCCCCCCCCTGCTATTTTCCCTGTTGGTTATAAAGGAAGCTATCACTATGGATTCCGGATGTTATGTGTTTTGTTGTTTTTTCAGGGGATCTATCCGCAAGCAGAGGTTCAGCAGGTTGTTGTTTGGAGGTATGGTACCGGAACTCAGATTGGACGCCTCCATGCACGAGCCTGTTCCGCCTCGAGAACTCGGTTGTGTGGCGTTGAAGCCATGTCAGCTTGGGCAAGATGGAGAAGCAAGCTTAACCTCGCTATAGGAATGTGCGCACTCAATCATGAGCGTTCCTTCATGCGAAAGCCTTCTTCGAGATCAGGGTGAATTATAGTGAACCATGATGTTGATGAATTGCAAGGAAACAATTTTTGTAGCTGTGATGTCTTTTGATCCATTTCGAAATACATGTGTGTGTGTGTGGGTGTGTGCGCATGCAAGCGTGTTGATGTGTATGGATGGATGAAAGGAAGGAGGGAGGGAGGAAGGAAGGGAGGAAGGAAGGCAGGAAGGCAGGCAGGCAGGCAGGAGGGAGGGAGGGAGGGAAGGAGGGAGGAAGGGGACAAAAGGAGGGAAGAAGGCAAGAAGATGGCGGGATGGAAGGAGGGAGGGAAGGAAGGAAGGAGGGATGGAGGGATGGAAGGAGGGAGGGAGGGAAGGAGGGAAGAGGAAGAGGGGAAGAAGGGAGGGAAGAGAAGGGACGGGAAGGGAAGGGAAGGGAAGGGGAAGGGGAAGGGAAGGGAAGGGAAGGGAAGGGAAGGGAAGGAACGATCCGGGAGGAAAGGAAGGAAGCAAGAAAGGAAGGAGGGAAGGAAGGAGGGAAGCAAAGACGCAAGGAAGCAAAGAAGCAAGGAAGCAAAGAAGCAAGGAAGGAAGCAAGGAAGCAAGGAAGGAAGCAAGGAAGGAAAGAAGCAAGGAAGGAAGGAAGGAAGCGAGGAAGCGAATCAAGGAAGCGGGCAAGCGAGCGAGAAAGCGAGTAAAACTAAGTTCAGTCAAACAGCTTTAAGTAAGTTTGGCAAAACTAAGTAACGTCTGGCTAGGTGAATAGGAAAGCTAGAAGCAAGGAAGGGAAGGGAAGGGAAGGGAAGGGAAGGGAAGGGAAGGGACAAGAAGGGCAAGTCAGGAAGAATGCAAGGGGCCCAACAATTGCAAACAGGACGGGGCACGGGGAGGAAGTCCTTTTGCACAAGCCCGACAGAGCCGGGCCAAAACAACTTCGCTCTGACTGAGGCGCAGACATCTCAATCCTCACCAGGGACGCTTTGTTCGAGCTTCTTGGGCGAGCATGTGGCAAATCAGTGAATAGCACCACTTTGGATTTATGAAGATAAGCAGACATTTGCTTAAGAATATGTGTATGTTCCCCTGTCGGTTTCAAAGGAAGTTTATCACAGGACATATGGTTTTCTTTCATATATTTGTTTTTTTTTGGGGGGGGAAGCGCGTGGAAGTAAATGACAACTGTCCAGGTAAATTCTAAGCGAAGCCCGAAATTCTTGATAATCCCGGTGCGCATTGTTTTGGGGCCATCTTTTGGGCAAACTGGAACCCTTTGAGTGCGGCTTGACGGGGTCGTTGAATCTGGGGGGATTGCGGGTTGCGGGGATTGCTTGGTCGTTGTTGCTGGGCGCGTTGGGAGGGGGGGGATTGCGGGTTGCTTGTGGGGTGGTCAAGGGTTGGGGGGTTGGGGGGGCTTAGTTGCATTTGAGGAAGAGGGAAGAAGGGAATTTGGGGTTCGGAGAAAGAAAGGGGTTTCGGCCACTCTGCCGCACCAAGTGACTGGTCGACCATGATCCCAGTGGCTTTGGACGTATCAAATCAGCTGCACCTCCGCTGAGAAAATTTGAAGGGCAGGAGTGTGTTGCAGCGGCCGCGCAAGTCAATCATGGGGCTGCGCAAGTAATTAAAGCCCAAGTAAAGCCCAAGTGAAGTGCAAGTGGCGCAGTGATTCATCATCATCATCATCATCATCATCATCATCATCATCATCATCATCATCATCATCATCATCATCATCATCATCATCACTATGGCCCAAAGATTGACAAGTTTTCGCACAAGTCCCGCGCAAGTCGCGCGCAGCCCGCAGATGCCCCCAAACTGCTTGGAGCAGGAGTGGCCCATTCCTGCATTTTGCATTTTATTTTTTCCGCAGATCCCAGCAATTTTGCCGAGTGAATTTGTTAGCAACACATTTGCAGCGGTGTATACACATGAGACCTCATACACTTAAAGGGGCATGGTATTGGCGGACCTCATGCTTATGAAGACCGCCGCTTGGATTTGCAATGAAAACAACTTGGGATAAGAGTTTTAGTACGGTTTTCCAGCTCACGTGGCTGAGGAGCAATTGATAGAAGTAGCGTCGTCAAGGGGCATTTTCTGGACAGAAAAACAGGCCGTAACCCATGGCTTCTCCCATGGTTCTAAATCGTATCCCAAGCCCCGATCCCCTTGCAAAGCTGATCTTGTTTTACTTTCTCCTGCAGGGAAAATAACTTGGTTTTTGACCACAGGGTTTCATCATCGTTGTAAAAGGCATCCTTGTAACCTTTGACCGATGTTTGCCGAATCATTTAGTATGATCAGCCGTCCACCCTCGAATCCAAACCCCCAATACAAACCACCAATCCGTTCCATGCTCAAGGCTTCTGAACATGGCCCCTGAGTTCTTATCTCGTCCCCTAAAGAGGGTCTGTGTTTGATTTGCATCCTACCGAAGCCCAATCGAGCCACAATCAAAACCCGAGTAGATGAACGTTCGGAAGGACCATTTCCCAGCCGAAAATAGTTACTGCCGCCGTTTTGTTTCCTTACACGGATTTGGGTAGACCATTTAACTACCATATTTCACATTGTGACTCAAATGGGTGTATACCTCAGCACTCGGACACCCCCAAAAAAAAAAGGGGCTTGGCTGTCCTTTCCGGTTTCCCTTTTCACAACTAGATCCCCCAGTACTGCCCTTTGTCTCCCCTTTGGGGAAGGGTTCTCCCTACTAAATAGACTAGAGAAAAATGTTGGTACCCTTATTCTAGCCTCTCTACTGGAGGACTTAGACAAAACGGGCCTGGAGAGCCCCATGAAAACCAAGCGCCAACGTCAAGCCGAAGCGACTCGAGGCCTGTGAGGCGCTGCCAGCGCGCTCGAGCCTTTCTGCGAGTCACCAAAACAGGCGAGGCGCTTGGCGGAAGGGACGCTCCGATCCGCTTCGCGCGCGGTTTCCGCTGGGCGGAAACCGTCGCATGGGCCGAAGAAATGAAAAAGAACGGGAGGAGCCAGTGGATCAAAGATGATCAAAGAGATCGAAACTCCGGAGGTACACTGTAAGGATGTGAGTCACAATCAAAACCTGGTACAAAAATGGTGCACCCAGAACCATGTAAAGAACAAAGAAGGCGGCCGCAGCTATTTATGGTTGGGATTGTCCCTTACTAACCTTCATCTACCCGGGTTTTGATTGTGGGTCATGTGAGGATGGTGAAATGTGGTGCCCAAAAGATGGGGGACCTGCATGTTCAAGGGAAACAAACGCCAGAGCCAGGCACCTAAAAGGCCCTGCAGGGTTGCCGCTGATCTTGTAGGTTGAATGGTTGAATGCCATTGCCGCCGGAAGGTCCTAAGCTCCTGATGGGCCGAGTCGGTGAGCTTTACACTTGGCGAAAGTAGATCGTACAATTCCCAGACGTTGGTTCAGTCATCCCTTTCCCCACAAAAGGATTTGCGCTATCCACTTTCACCAAGGTGTAGAATGTTTGGTGGTTGCGTTGGCCACAGACTTACTGTGCTCCTTGCCTCGTTTGGGCGTTCTCCGTTGTCCCTGCTTTGCCAGCAAACAGTTGCAACTTGTTGCAGGGGGCTAAGTCTCGCCATGGCTAGGTGGAGGGGGCTAGGGAAACTGCACAAATGAAGTTGAGGTGGTGTCCTTTTCATCATTGTTCCCTTGCTCTTTGGTTTTCCCTTTGAACATGGTCAACCCCAAAAGGTTTTACTTGTTCATGAATTTCAAAGAAACTGATACAAGTAATCATTTCATAGGGCCGGAACTCTGTTCTGACACCTTCCCAAACAGTTTTAGTGGCAACAAAGAAGCGGACCAACTGGGAAACCCAACCCAGAAAAGGACGGATTGGAGAACCACTTTGGTGTGCAAGCTGTTTCAAAATCTTTGGGGCTCGATTTTCTATGACGCTTACTTTCACCAGCAACTTTGGACATGCGTTGCATCTCTGTTGCAACACTCCTAGCCTCCGCTCATGGTAGACACTTGGAGCATCATGGCAACACCTTGCCAAAAACCCCGGACCTGAGGCACACACCTACAACTACCATGACCGGGCCATTATGGCTATATTTCGGGGGTATGAAAGTCACAAAATGGGAGGGGGGTCTCTTTAACCTGCCAATTTGGAGATGACATAGATCGTGGTAAACGAATGGAGCCACCATGCTGGCTTCTTGTTTTCTACAAGATTCGCTCCGCAACCGCACGTGAAGCCCCTTGGACATATTGGGCAGACAATGACTTGCGGCCAATGCCACTTGAGTTGCATTGGCCTTCCCTGAATCATGCCGCCTGTTGTGCGTTGCCTTTAATTCGGTCCTACAATACCCCCCCCCCCCCATCCCTAATATTCATTTCGCGGTGGATTGCTTATAAGGGGTGCAAGTTTTCCGGCTTGGTCCTTTTCGCTCCCGTCTGGGTCCTCTCCGGGCCTTTGCCTGAAATGAGGTACCCAAAGCTCCTATTTGTTTGGCATTGGTTTAGTCTTGGCTCTAACGGGGCCCCCAAATGCGGCTGGGTGTCCGGCCGGAGTGGGAAATCGCTGGTTTAAAACTTTGGCTTAGAAGGGGCGTATTCTAGTTTTTAGTATTGGGGACTTTGGAGATTGTGGGACAGAATTGTTCACGTCGGGACCTTCACTTCGGGGGAAGGGTTGTGGGTTTTGTTGTTGCGTCGCCAAAATAGATCAATGACCGATGTTTTCACCCCATGCCACCAATGTTCACCAATATTTGATATATGTTGCTTGCGGCCCTAACACTTGTTCCCCTCATCATCTCAGACGTTGCTCAAGAGTTTGCGTTGACATTCAGCACACATCAAAACACACGTGTGAGTTCAAGTTTGGGCCCATCCTCGGAATAGTTTTGTTGGTTTCTGTGGTCTTAGCAAGCCACGCTTGAGTTCATTTGGGGGCGATGAGAGGTTGCAGATTTTAAAGTAGAGAGGTGGGTCAGGGTGGGAACTCACTTTCGTGATACTCTTCTCCAGGCTCTTCCTGGTTCGGTTTTTGTGGACTTGTCCAAGTTGTTGCCCACATGTAGCGTAAGGGTCGGATGATGTGTTATGGGAGCAGCCCCTTCATTCCCGCAACCCCTGCTTCGTTCTCAAAATGGTGGGGCCCCCTAAAATGGTAAGCTAGGTTTTTTGAGTGCCCTTTCACCCCCCCCTTTCTTTGGGGGAGGGTGCGCCTGCTAAATTGAATACCGAAGAAATCGGGTACCAACTTATTCTAAGCTCTCACCTGGACCTCGGGGCTCCCTGCCTCGTCTTGGCCCCGGAAGGCCCGGACGGTCCGAAGCAGTACTGGACGCCCTGCAGCCCGGGGGTGCCCAATGCACAGGCCATGACCCTCATGCAGGCCGGGACTGACTCTCCGGGAATCCCGCACAACTCACTCGTGGCTTGACCTTCTCTTGAGAAGAGTTTCAACAGCTCAGAGTTCAGACAAGAATAAGTTCAACGAGGGTTGCTGTGGGGTTGCTGTCAAACCAAATCTAGTGGCTGTAGGCTTAAACTCTCATTCCGTCCGGGCAGGTCCCTGCTGCGGAGCTGCTGTCGCAGGGGGCCAAGGGAAAACGGCTTTTAACCTAAAGCCTTACTCCCTGAGTTGCTGGTTACTGGGGTTACGCCCCGGGCCAGAGTAGATCTGATACACACACACACACACACCCACGCACGCACGCACGCACGCACGCACGCACGCGCTACAAGAAGTGCTGGGGGGCTTGAGTAACTTGGGTGGGATGGTTGGTCGGTCGGTCGCTTGCTTGCTTGGTGTGGCTTGGCTTCGTTTAGTTTGTTTGTGGGTGGGGGCTGGTTGCTTGGTTGATTGGTTGCTTGATTGCTTGGTTGCATGGTTGCTCGGTTGCTTGGTTGCTAGGTCGGTTTGTTGGACGGTTGGTTGGTCGGGTTGGTCGGTTGGTTGCTTGGTCGGTTGGTTGGTCGGTCGCTCGGCTGGTCGGTCGCTTGGTCGGTCGCTTGGTCGGTCAGTCGGTTGCTCGGTCGCTTGGTCGGTTGGTTCGGTCGCTCGGTTGGCTGCTGGGTCGGTCGCTTGGTTGCGTGATCGCTTGGTCGGCTGCTCGGTCAGTCGGTTGGTTGGTCGGCTGTTCGGTTGGTCGGTTGCTTGGTTGGTTGGTCAGTCGGTCGGTTAGTTGGTTGGATTGTGTTTCAAGCCGCTTTGGGGCATTGATGAATTGGCGTGGCATGTTTTTGGTTGTGAAAAATATTTTCTACCTCCAGTGCCTCACAATCCCCTGCAACCTGTTGACAAGGGTCATTCAAGCACAATATACTCTCAAGGCCCCTGGACATTTAGCTCTTGGCAGCTGGGGCCTGTGCAGTTCAGCTTCCCACATTCACCCACCAGTGGCTCCCTCTAAACCCCTTTTTGTTTCGTGGGCTCTCTCCACCTTTGGCCGTGGCCAGGCTAAAACACGCCATTCTCTCTATCTCTCTCTCTCCCTCTCTCTGTCTCTCTCGCTTGTTAGCCATACCCGGGTCGTGGGCCCACGGAATTCAGGCAAAACCATGCCATGTGTCTTCTTGTTTTTCTTTGTCGGCCACGACAAATATGAGCTGGCCAGTGGCAGCCCATTTCTTGGCAAGCTTTCGCCACCTGAGAGAATTCCAAATCGACATACGGCGACACATCCCTGGCTTCCAAGATGGAACCTGGCGCCAGGGTGCGCAATCATGGAGTTGGTGTCAACGACCTGCAAAGATGCTTTATGGTCTTCGGAACGATTTCCCACTGGATTGCAATGTTCAACCGTTGCGCAAAATGGTTTCGGTTTGAAGCACTTGGTCCTGGAGCTTGGCGTGATTGTCAGGCAACCGGAATGGATCCTAGTGGTGGTTGAAGCTTTGTGCTCAAAGGCTGAGCGAAGGCGAGCATGTTTGTGCGCCAACTCAATGCGCAGAAAGCGCAGAGGTTCAAATACTTCTCCTTGAACCGGCGCTTGCGAGGCGCCCAGCACAGCCAACTTTGAATTCTCACAGCAGAACAATTCCTTTCCGACCGCTTTGATCCTCTTGAGGCCGGACGTCCTGGCATCCGACTTCGAGGCAAGTGTGGTCAATTTGGGGTCACAATCCATGGGTATGCATCACCACTCACCACTGCCATGAGATAATCGCATTTCCTAAGAAACTGGTAGAGCCTGTTCCTGTCGCCACATCGCCCCGAGAAGCCCGGTCAAGCCTTCCTTTCGAGGGGCGCACCGCCATTTTGAGACATCACTGGCTTGAGGGTAGCTCAAGCAAGGGCCTGTCGTGTCAGGTGAGCAACCTGCCAGGTTGCAAGCCCAAAGCCCAAAGCCCCAAGCCCATGGCTTAAAACCAAGGCACCCAAAGTCAAAGGACGGGTCTCCGATGCTGACCGGGTAAATTGCAAGAAAAAAAGTGGCCAGTCTCTGGGGAAACCGGGTTTCGTATCAAAGAGGGAGTCACATCAAAGGGTCTCTCCCAATCACTTTGGGGGTTCTCGGAACAGGGGTTCTTTGCTCAGCGGACAGTTCCTTGACCTGCGAAAAAAGCCATCAGCACAGCCGTCCACAGCCCTGAATTCCAAGTCACTGACTGCGATGGCAATTGGAGCTTCTGTTGACATATTGAATAGGGCTTAAAGAAGTCTACGAATCGCCGGAATATGAATCGCCATTATGGGCCATATGTCTCTAAACGACGGACCCCCATCCAGGTGGTTGTTTTCCTCTTGGTCTTACTTCAAAAGGCTCCCGAAAAGGAGCTCAGCAAAAACACAAGATATATCAAGGCATCCAAGTCTTCGAGCGATGCCCCTTCAGCATCCAACATGGACATTCCACAAATCCCCATCAGAGTAGATGGAACCTCAAACAGCAGCTGCTTCAGAAGGACATTCCTACAAATATGGGTGTGTGTGTGTGTGGTTCCTTTTTTTTGTGGGATTCGTTGCTTGGGCTTCAAAGTAAAGCCAACCAAATGAAATCAAGCTCAAGAGAATTGAAAGGCTGGCCCCTTTTCTGGCAGACCCCATTCTGTGCATTTTTGGGCGCGGGCGCCCAAATGAAAGAATGCATGCCAATCCCAAAGGACCGCCCAATGACATCTTTTCCTCGCACCCAAAGGAAACTTCGCTGTTCTTGGCATGTTTTTTTTTTTTTTTTTTTTTTTTTTTTTTTTAAGTTGTTTGGGTCTGTTCATTTGTACTGGGGGTCTGCAAAAATCAGTCAGCTTTTTGCAAGCCCATGCCAAGAGTAGAGATGCAACCACGTGTTTCAGACTCCGAGTTCCCCAGCCGCGCGAGCCAGGCCGCGCTGGAGAAGGTCCGGCCCAGCGTGAGCCCGGCGGACCTCAAGGCTCACGAGGAGATAAACCCGCGGCTCGCTCGGCGCGCGTTTTGTTTTTTTGAGACCCAAGCGTCCTCGAGTTTTTAGTTGTTTTGTTGGAAACCCAGGTGCCGAAATGATGTTTTTCCTTTTGTTGGGCTTAAAGGGGACCTATCACAGGTTCGATCATTGTTCCCAGACTTAAGCACATGGGAGCACCCAAAATGATGGGCTGTCCTGTTGGTGTATCCCCAAACTGGTGGATGTTCCTTTTGGCTTCCCTGTAAAACTGCAAAAACTGAACTACAACTAGACGACGAGTGGCCCGGAAGCATAGAGGCAAGTTGATGCAGGTGAGGTAACTCTCGCAAAGTTAGCATGAGGAGTTGGCAGGCGAAGCAATTCTCAAAAAGTTGGCATGAGAAGCTGGCAGGTTAAGTAACTCTCGAATAGTTGGCTGGCAAAGTTGGCGGGTGAAGTAATTCTCGCAAAGTTGACATGAGAAGTTGGCAGGCGAAGTAACTCAAGAGAAAAGTTGGCATGAGAAGTTGGCAGGTGAAATAACTCTCAAAGAGTTGGCATGAGAAGTTGGCAGGTGAAGTAACTCTCGAAAAGTTGGCGTGAGAAGCTGGCAGGTGAAGTAATTCTCGAAAAGTTGGCACGAGAAGATGGCGCGTGAAGTAACTCTCGAAAAGTTGGCGTGAGAAGCCGGCAGGTGAAGTAACTTTCGAAAAGTTAGCATGAGAAGTTGGCAGGCGAAGTAATTCTCGAAAAGTTGGCGCGAGAAGTTGGCAGGCGAAGTAACTCTCGAAAAGTTGGCAGGCGATGTTGGCAGGTGAAGTACCTCTCGAAAAGTTGGCATGAGAAGCTGGCAGGTGAAGTAATTTTGCGAAAAGTTGCCACGAGAGGTTGGCAGATAAAGTATTTCTCGAAAAGTTGGCATGAGAAGTTGGCAGGTGAAGTAATTCTCGAAAAGTTGGCAGGTGAAGTTGCCACGAGAGGTTGGCAGGTAAAGTATTTCTCGAAAAGTTGGCATGAGAAGTTGGCAGGTAAAGTAATTCTCGAAAAGTTGGCATGAGAAGCTCGCAGGTGTAGTAACTCTCGAAAAGTTGGCATGATAAGCTCGCAGGTGAAGTAACTCCTCGAAAAGTTGGCACGAGAAGTTGGCAGGTGAAGTAACTCTCGAAAAGGTGGCATGAGAAGCTGGCAGGTGAAGTAATTCTCGAAGTTTCGGCATGAGAAACTGGCAGGTGAAGTAATTAACCCTCAAAAAGCTGGAGCGGCGGAGGCGCTCCGCGTGCTACATTTGCAATTTACAGTTGCGATTTTCCAGCCATTTGTATCTAAAAGTTGCGATTTTCCAGCCGGAGCTGCGGGAGCACGCTCCGCGTACTACGTCTGTACTTAAAAAGTGCGATTTTCCAGCCGGAGCTGCAGCAGCCTCCGCGTACTACGTCTGTACTTAAAAGTTGCGATTTTCCAGCCGGAGCTGCAGGAGCACGCTCCGCGTACTACGTTTGTACTTAAAAGCTGCGATTTTCAAGCCGGAGCTGCCGCGGACCAGGGGGGAATCGAACCCGGGACCGCGGGATTGCGAAAGCAGGCGCGCACACCACGAGACAACTTCCAAAAGCCGTTTCGCGAGCAAGAAAATCGCACGGCGCCACAGCGAGAGCGCTTCGACACGCACGAGACGTTCATCGGGCTCAAGACAGATCGGCGCCACAGCGAGAGCGTTTCCCCGCAGAGGGATCGGGCTCAAGACAAATCGCACGGCGCCACAGCGAGAGCGCTTCGACACGCAGGATCTCCGCAGAGGGTTCGCCAAGGTCAAGACAAATTCGCACGGCGCCACAGCGAGAGCGCTTCGACACGCACGATCTCCGCAGAGGGTTCGCCGGCTCAAGACAAATTCGCACGGCGCCACAGCGAGAGCGCTTCGACACGCACGATCTCCGCAGAGGGTTCGCCAAGGTCAAGACAAATTCGCACGGCGCCACAGCGAGAGCGCTTCGACACGCACGATCTCCGCAGAGGGTTCGCCAAGGTCAAGACAAATTCGCACGGCGCCACAGCGAGAGCGCTTCGACACGCACGATCTCCGCAGAGGGTTCGCCAAGGTCAAGACAAATTCGCACGGCGCCACAGCGAGAGCGCTTCGACACGCACGATCTCCGCAGAGGGTTCGCCAAGGTCAAGACAAATTCGCACGGCGCCACAGCGAGAGCGCTTCGACACGCACGATCTCCGCAGAGGGTTCGCCGGTCAAGACAAATTCGCACGGCGCCACAGCGAGAGCGCTTCGACACGCACGATCTCCGCAGAGGGTTCGCCGGCTCAAGACAAATTCGCACGGCGCCACAGCGAGAGCGCTTCGACACGCACGATCTCCGCAGAGGGGTGCGTTTCGTAAGCTCCCGTCGGGCCTACCCCCGCCATAAAAAGAAGAAGAATTAAGAGTCGAGAAGTGAAGGTAGAACAGAAAAGTTAGCTTGTGTTTTTAGGATAGTGAAGTAACACCCGACAAATTAGCTTGTGCTTTAGTAGTAGAACACCCGACAAATTAGCTTGTGCTTTTAGTAGAATGAGATAACAGCCGAAAAGTTGACATGAGAAGTTGGCAGGTGAAGTAACTCTCAAAAAGTTGACATGAGAAGTAGGCAGGTGAAGTAAACAAGGCAGCAGGTGAAGTAACTCTCGACAAGTTGGCATGAGAAGTTGGCAGGTGAAGTAACTCTCGACAAGTTGGCATGAGAAGTTGGCAGGTGAAGTAACTCTCGACAAGTTGGCATGAGAAGTTGGCAGGTGAAGTTGGCAGCCGCTTTTAGAAGAAGAACCCTTCGCAATGCTTCCGGGAAAAAAAGGGGTACTCTCAAAAGGTAAAACCAGCAAAGAGAATATAAGGGTGTGGTTCCTTTGTTTAGGCGAACCCCAATTCACACCCCTATCCAGTTGAAATCTTACTTGCCCAAAACGATTCGACCGGGTTGGCCCAGTTTTAGTCAAGGTTCCCAAAGGATAGCTTTCTATTTCTATGGGCAAGTGAGCTTGGTATACAGGCTAGGCTTTTAGGGGCCCGGGGCTCAATAACGATTCCGTTCCTATTGGGTTCCCTTTTAACACCACGCAAAGAGATGTTCCCTCAGAAAAAGGCACACCTGTTGCAGACAGTATATACTGTACATTATAATGTTATGTTCAAAACAAAGTACTAATACCACTGATGATGATGATGATAACGTCAATAAAAATGCTGATAATTGTTGACAACAATGATCGTGATAATGAATCTAACGACGCTGCTAAATCATGTTGTAGTTAAAACATGTTGTAACAATACTGTTGGAATACACATGTGTTCCCTGTGCTTTTCAAAGGTCTTTCTGATTTGTTTGTCCAGACAGAAGAGGGCGCCGGGCGAGCCCAACTGGAGTTGGAGGAGGGCCTTGACTCTTGTCACTCCAGAGAGTTCTGTAAATGGACGAAATCTGCGCCGAGCACCAGTTGGGATGGATGAAACCCGATTTGAACACATTGTTGACTTACCACCAATCCCAACTGGTGCCCGGCGTGGATTTTGTTCGCAGTACCCTCCAACAACCTTGGAAGCTCACGATCGGAGGGTTTTGGAGGACGAAATCTACCCCTTTTGGGGAAGCTGCGTGTCCACTTCCATGATCTTCTGTTGGCTTATTTTTGTAAAGTGTTCCCCTGTGGGCTTCGAAGACAATCTATCACTGCTGGAATGTGTTTTTTCTCCAGGAGACTTCAGCAAATGGTGGGGATTGTTAAGAGATGACTGAGGGTATTGAACATAAGCCCCGAGGCATTGGCATTCCTCGCTCGACTCAATCTTGTCCCTTTTCCCCATCTCGCCCGCTTCGCTCTTGCCTGACTTGTCCCTCGCATGGGGGCTGAGGGAGGGGCGTGGGGAGCCCATAGCCCCAAATAAGGCCTTAAGGTCTAACATGCTGCTTCTCAGCTGGGAAGGGACTCACCCGAGAAAAGACCCATTTGAGCAGCGTTTTTTCTCAGATGATGGATTTTAGCTTCGTGGGGAACTCCCAAAAAGTCCGCGAAGCTACTTGTGTGATTCATTGTGCGCCGCGAAGCCCTGCGAAGCCAATTCGCGTAGCCCGGTAACATTGACACAGGCGAAGCCACTTTGCGAAGCCACTTCGTGGTTGATGAGTGTTATGTGCTTTCAGTCAGACTGCCGGAAGATTCTGGGAAGACGACAGGAAGACGACCAGAAGAGCACCGTGCGTTTCAGGCCCGGTTTTGCTACAATCGATGGAACGTTTTCGCGAAGCCTCTGCAAAGCCCCCGCGAAGCCTCCGCGAAGCCACCGCGGTCCAACTTCCTCTCACCGCCCCCTTTCGCATGGACTCAAATGGCCGTGAATGTTTTTGAGGGGTCTGTAACAGAGCCGCGGCGGACATTCGTTACAGACCTCGTTACAGACCTCTGTAACAAGACCCGCTGGCTCGTTACACGCCCCTCGTTACACACCCTCGTTACACACCTCAGATGAGCAAACCGCTTGGCTGGTTGTATGCCCCTCGCTACATACCTCGTTACAGACCCAACCCCAGCCCGGGCCAGCAACCCGCCTTTTTGCTGCAGCGTGGCTTGCGTTGAATAGCTGCAACCAAGCTGGAGCTGCGGAGGCGCGCTTTGCATATTGCGTTTTGCTTTGCCTCGTTACAGACCTCGTTACATAGCCGTTACATACCTCGTTACAGACCCAACCCCAGCCCGGGCCAGCAAGCCCCCTGTTTACCGCACCGTGGCTTGCGTGGAATAGCGCTTTGCAGACTGCGCTTTGTTTTGCCTCGTTACAGACCTAGTTACATAGCTATCACATACCTCGTTACAGACCCAACCCCAGGCCGGGCCAGTGACCCCCTTTTTGTCATCGCTTGGTTTTGTGTCGGCAGTTGCAAAGTTTAAGCTGGGGCTGGGGAGGCGTGCTTCGCGTACTGCGCTTGTACTGAAGAGTTGCGATTCTCGAGCGGGAGCTGCTGCTCTTTGTTCTGCGCTACATTGCGCTACTGATACTGATGCTTGTCAAGACATGTTTTCTCGTTACAGACCTGTGTAACAAGGACCTCCGTTACAGACCTCCGTAACAAGATTCGTGGCGCGTCGCGCGTTACAGACCCCAAAAAAAATTCGTAGCCAAATTGATTCAACTACATGAGAGCGCAAGCGTCAGAGATGTTTGTGGAACAAGCATCCGCGAAGCCCGGCGAAGCCACTCCGCGAAGCCGCAGTCTTGTCGCGAAGCCTCACGAACCCAACCCTTGCACGAATTTTCGCGAAGCCCCCCCGCGTAGCCTTCCCAGAAGCGTATAAGCCCTTAAACTTAAAAAAGCAATGCTCATTTGCCATGGTTTCCGTTCTTCGGGAATCCCCAAAACCGGTTCATTCCCAACACCCAGTCTCGCAAAGTCATTCCCTAGCGCACCAGCACAGCAAGTTGCGGGTTTTCAGGGAGCCCAGCATCGAGACCGGCACCAAACACCCCACTTGGGTATTGGGTATCTGTCAAAAGGCCCGGGCCCCAAAAAGGGGATTTCGGTCTTTTTGTTCACCCCCCCCCAAAAGAAAAACAGAAACACACGCAACGGCAACAAACTCATTTGACACGTTGCTCGGTTTCCATTGAAAGGCACCGCGGGGCGGGCTGTTTTTTTGGAACAAAGTGGTCGAGAGCACCCAATTCATTTGGCTGTGGGTAAAAACCAGTACCATTTTGGGGCAGGTGCACCACTCATTTTAGTCTATTTTAGTGGGGGTTGTTATGTTCATTTTGCCCCATGGCCATTTCGGCTTCGATAGGAGTTTACGGCCACCTTCGGCATGGAGGGCCAGTGAGGCGAAGAAAACGTTGCTTGAGGAAAATGTCGGGGACAGCTTCCACTTCTTGACCCCAAAGTGGACTACCCACCCCATCTACCTTGGGGTAGTCAAAAAACGGAGCCCTGGTCGGAATTGGAACCCCTGGCCTTAATGTCAAAAGATAGGACCTTTCCAGGAAAGACGGTTCGGGCGTGTCGCCTATTTTTTTCGCCCATGTGGTTTATTGTAACCCCTTGTGAAATTGGAACCCCTTGTGAAATTGGAACCCCTTGCAAAAGTCTACGACTTCTTTTCTTCATTTCTTGAAGTGTCGAAAACGCTTCGCGTTTTGTTTGCTATCGCGCTTTATGCTTATTGCAACCCGTGCTGTGGCAGCGCGAGTTTCACTTCCACACTTTGACACTCCCAGCCTGCCATCCAGTAAGCCTTGGAGTGGCGCAGTAAATTTGTATCCGTGCAAAAATCATAACTGCGAGAGTTGCGCTTTTCCTGCTTGCTTGGAGCAGGGGGCACAGACATTTCACCGTAGAGTCGGAGTCTCGAATCATATGCGAACGGGAATGCAAATTCTTGTTCCGGTGCTCCTGGGTGGTTCACTACGCACAGGCCAAGTCCGCCGGCATACGAACGAATGCCGCGCGAATCGTTTAAGCCTGGTCAGCTGAAGAGCTGACAGCTTCACAAGGGCGCTGGCAGCGGACACTGGCTTGCATTCCATGCTCACGCCCTGTCCTGGACTCTACACCTTGTGGGAAGACAGTTCGAGAGGCAACTTGTTGGGGCCAAACCAGGAAGTGAGAATGACTACCCACCACTCGTTTGTTCAAGAGTCGGTGTTCCGCTCCCCCCGTTTGCACACAGGCGCAGCGCATATATCCAAAAAGATGGAAGTGCGGCCGAATGCTGAGTGTTTCAATTTCTCAAAATGCTGGGGCCCCTCTTGGTTGGTATTCAATCAGAAACCGGAAGGAACCCCACCTTTTTGGGGGACCACTATTGTGAAAACACGCCCCCCATCTTTCGCATGGGAAGGAGACTGGCGGATGCCACGGATGCCACGGACGCCACTTGCGCCCGCAGTCCTTTGGCTGCACTTCCCTTAGCAAGATGCTGAATTGGACATGGGGTCAGCGCCTGAGAGCCGCCAAAGCCGAGAAGCCGAGTGTGATGGACGAAAACAAAATGCCAGGTGCAGAAGAAGTCATGTCTCTAGGGGTACCTTCCTTCCACTTTCCATTCTTTCCAGGGATCCTTCTTTCCAGAAACCCAGGGAAAAACGGCTGGTTGTGGAAAGAACGATGATTGAAAACGGGAAATCAACCCCTGGAATGTCGTACAGTCCTTTGCATGAAGAATTGAATGGTTTGCACTGTTGCTCACTCTGACATTCGGAGTCTTTCTTTGAGATCTTCAGCTTCGAATGCACCGAGGAGACGAGGCTTGCGAACAGGCCAAAAAGCTGCTGAAGAAGTGATCCAGCCAAGAGCGCAAGAGCAAGAGCATGTGGATCTGCCATTTGCTGAATTGAGTATGCATGGTGCTATTGTCCCTCTGTTGGTTTTTGGGGGAATCTATCACGACTGGAAATATGTTCTCTTTTTTCCAGGGGATCTATCCGCAAATGGAAGGGATGCTTTATGCTTTGTATGGCGTGATCACTTGGCTTCTGCTTGATTCTCACTAGAACGCCATCTTCATCTGCTCCGCAACTGAGTGGTGTCAGAACCCCAAACCGGGGCGGCTTTCCTTTTGGCAGAGCCCCACAAAGCCAGAACCCCCACAACTGGCACCCCCCAAAACCGGTGGCGGTTCTTCTGACCAACTCCAAAAGCCTGAGAGGATGCCGAGACGGGTGGAACTTGCCAGGTATCCGGATCGCATCCCGGTGATCTGCTCCAAGGCACGGATCACTTCGACGAAACCAAGGAGAGACCTCTCCGGAGCTCGTTTTTCGGAGCTCGGAGACTGGGTGTCGCACCATGGTCCGTTCCGGGACTCGGAGTCTCATGAGTTGAGTCACTTTTTGGGATTGAACCGACCCATTTCGGTGGTAAGCAACGAAAATGTGGTGGTGCTTTCGTGGCCCATCCACCCCATCGGAAGCGAGCTTTATGGGAATCTGGAAGTTTCTCAGTATGGGATTTGCACCTCCTTTTGGTAATTATACGCATTTAGTCGCGGAGCCAAATCGAAGGCCCCCATGATGGGGGCCGATTCCCGCGTTGAGAAACCCAATGTGTGACCATGTAGAGACTCCCACAGGTTCCATGTTTGGCTTTGGGAGGGAACCTGAATGCTCCCCCTGAATATAGCATGAGTCTTTTCTAGGTCCCCCAGCTTGGTGCCCTTTCTCACCCCTTTTTTGGGGAGGGGAGGGTTTCCCTACTAAAATAGACAAAACTGAAAAAGGAGTACCAACTTACCCACTGGAGGACCGAGTCTTTGTTAATCACGCAGGCTGCGACGACGGACCTGCCAGAAATCGAGAAGAAGAAGTTTCTGGTGCCGCTGGCTGAGCTGGACGTGTATAACAAAAATCCCTCTTCTCTCTTCAGAGATATTGCTTTGCTTGAAGGCTCCAATCTGCAGCTGCAATTATCGGCTTCTGCAAATCAAGTAATTCTTGAATAGTACCCCTCAGCTGAGTCTTCATGAAGCCTCTAGTGTTGACTGGAAGGCTGTGCTTTTTGCTTAGATGTGATTGGCGTTGATGTCTTTTTCGTGCTGGCTGGCTGGCTTGCTAGCTGAGTTGCGGTTGGTTAAGTTGGTTGGGTTGGTTGGTTGGGTTAGGTTGGGTTGGCTGGTTGGGTTGTTTTTTTTGCACACCTATGAACGAGAGAGGCACTGGTACCCAACCTTAGGCCTGCCAACATGCTGTGCGGGGAGTTCAAGCTCCAGCCTGAGAGTTCCATGCGATGCAATCATGGTTGTTGGGGAACATTTTGCATTTTTGCTTATTGTGGTTTAGTGGGAGATCCAACCACTTAACTGCTAAAACATATAAATTGGTGGCTCCCCTTCCCACGTCAACGCGACGGAACGCATTGATCAACTGGCCTCAGGTACATTGTTCATAAGCACATCTTGACCGCTTCTCCGCGTACTGTGGGCACAGACAAGGCGGGAAGCTCCGCGTGCGATATGGAGAACTGACCGGGCCAAGACATGCGATGTAAAAGGTGATCAGCCAAGGCTATGGTTGATTATTCGTATTCGTTTCTGCGGTTCTTGCTCTTGAACACGTGTGGCAACGAGTGGCCAACGCGGGATCACATTGCCAGAGTCAAACCGGGCTCTTGCAACCAGTGGACTGCCATCAAGGTGAGGGCGCGCAAAGCATGCGCAAGTAAGTTGGTTTCAGCTGTTGAATTTGCTGTATTATTTGCATGTGCGGTGCTTGTTTTCCTTTTCGTTTAGTGAGGACATGGGCCTTTCCGGATGGTTTCTTGTTGGCGCTGTTCCAGTCATGCAGGTTCCTTACAAAAAGGCAAGCACGCATTCCTTTTGGACCTGACCCTGAGACCTTGTACCTGCTCATGAACAATTGCAAGAAGTCGGCCAAGACAAGTTCATTCATGAGCGAGGCGCGGCGAGCCAAACAGAGCCTTGAGCGTGGTGTGCGGCCCGACTCTTTTTGTTTCAGGGTACCCGGGTTGAAGGGGAAGGAACAAAAAAGCCATGTTCAGGGTCCGCTAAAAAGAACACATTCACATGGCTGTGGGTCAAAACCAATGGTACCATTTTGGGGTAGGTGCATTCACCACCCATTGTAGTCTATGTCAGTGGTTGGATTGGTTGATGTTCACTGGTACGATTTGGGTTTTGACCCATAGCCACATCAAGCTGTAAATTGAAACATCCAAAAAGCGTGCTGTCTCCAACTTGGTGATCACCCGGTCTCCCTTTCCTTGGCGCGGTTTTTGCAAAGGGCTTTAAAGGGGGAAAAAATCAAAAAAAAACATCCCGCGGAGAGAACGATGCCGCCAAGGAATCGCTGGGCTTTTTGAATAGCGTTGTTTTATTGCAGGGCGTTGAGTGAGTTGATGGCCACACGGAAGATGTCAAAATTTGCACAGAACTTGCATGGGGTGGTGTTCTTTTGAAGGTATCCTGTGTCACCTTCGTGAAAACATAGCAAAGGGGACCTGTCTTCTGCGGGGTTTCCTTATTTGGACAACTATCAAAACATCGCCGCAGGTGTACGCCGCGCACAAGGAGAAGGATGGCTTTCTGCGTGCCAGGCATGTTTTTCCAACCGCTGAGCTGCGCAGCTCTTGGAAGATCCTGACAGGTACGTGCAGTACAGTGCAGAAGCTACCTTGGGATGAGCGCGGAAATTCAGATGCCCTGAGGGCATGGATGGCTACTGGCATGCCATGCCTCGGCTTCCTGTATCAAAACTTGGTACGCTCGGAAGCAGCTCAGGAGGCCGTTTGGCCGAGCGCCTCTCTGACCGGACAGCTTGCCTTCTGTTGAAAGGAATCGGTGCATCTCTTCCCCGTGACAAACGATGCCCAGTTGATCAAACGTCCAGTGCAAAGCGAGATCAATCATCAACTCCAATTGCGGGGTATGGTGAAACCATTCCTTGACCGGTTCCTTTCGCAGGAGGCTCATGTTTCCGCAGAAGCAGCCCCGACAGAGCGAGGGGATGGAGAGAGCGCAACAGAATGGGTCTCTGCTGGGTGTTTCCTTCGGCCATTTGCACAAGGCAAGGATTTTTCAGTATTTCAGCAGAAATCCGGAGGTGATTCGCGGTGACTCGCTGCCGTTGCCGATGTAGGACCCCTCAGTTGGCTGTCTCTCGGCCTCCGAAAGGCCATCTACAAGGGGTTCCCCAATTTTTGCTTCAAGGCCAGCTGAGTGACCGGAGATGGTAAACCAGACGGACAGCGTGAGGCCGGTTCTTCCATGAGCACTCGGCCCGAGACTGGAGAGCAACAAAAGCAGCTGCATTCTCAGACTACCCTTATGGCCTCAAATTGATGTGGTCCAGGTGCAGTTCTCAGCGGATGTGAATTGGTGTTTGATTCCAATTTGAAGTGGAGTTTCTACGGTCTGTATCGAACCGAGGGGAGGGGAACCTTGTTTCCCTCCACTTTCCGGTTGTCCCCTTGGACGGCCGTCAGTAGCCGGGCAAGAGTCTCGGCATTCGAATGGATTTCAGCGGAAAAAAAGGAATAACCACCCGATTCAAGACTGCCTCCAAATCGAATGGGGTGTTGCTCCAAATCGGGGGGGTCCCCTTTTGGGGAAAAGGGGAAACCAACAGCAAACCTTTTGCACCTGAACTTATCTTCAAAAACACCCAAACAGCTGGTCGAAATAGGTGCCCAGAATGAATCTCCAGCAAATAGAACCCTGCAGACCACTTGCGGTCCATATCCTGGTGGTTTAATTTTGACCCATACAGAAATGGGTGCGTTTGTAAGGGTTCCCTTTTGGGGTGGTTCTGAAACGCAAACCAAACGGAAACCAACCAGCTCGGGGGATCCCTTGAAAAAGACGCACCCAAATGAGAAATGTTCCTTGTCCTGGGTTAACAGGGATGGTCATCCACCTGGTAGCAAGGCTCCTGAAAACCCTTGCAATGATTCCTAAGGGAGCCATGGCCCAATCGGACGAGCAAACGCAGCTTTGATCATGGCACATATGCTATCCAGTATACATCGTCACATGCGGATGTGGCTTTTGGTTGGAGGGGAAAATTTTGACCCCGGATTCATACACCCCTGTTTATTGATGTGGGGGTGTTTCCCTCCGAAAGTGATGAATCCCCACTAAAACCAGCGACACCCCCAGAAAAGTAAACAGGGGTTTATTAATCTGGGGTCAACATTACATACCAATGGGATTCTTCGTTGTTTTAGAGTCCGTTAAAAAAGAAAAAAATAAAAACCAACGGACCCCAACGAACGGACCCCTGTTTATGAATTTGGAGTTTGTGCGTTCGTCTTTTTGTTTCTTCATTTTGGGACGGCCTCGTCGGTGTCCGGGTCCTTTGGGCCCGCGGAGCCTCTCTCAGAACCTCAAATTTGTTTTTTTTCGGATGCGGAGCCCGGGGATTGATTCCGAGCCGAAAACAAGAATACGGCACCCACCCCTCCAACACCACCTGTGTGTCTGTGTGTGTCTGTGTGTCTCTGTGTGTTTGTGTTTGTGTGTGTGTGCGTCTCTGTGTGCGTCTCTGTGTGTCTCTGTGTGTGTCTCTGTGTGTGAATGTTTTGTTTTTGCTGGACGGTACCCCATGTTTGGGCTTCAAAGGGAAGCCACAAGGAAACCAACCATTTCGGCGAGTCAACTAAAGAACGGCATTACTTTAGCTATGTTCATTTTCCCTGCTGGCGTTCAAGCAAATCAATCACTGGACTTATGTTTCTTGTGTTTCATTTGCGTAGCCGCAAATGGGAGCAAAGGGGAGGAAAGCCTTCTCAGCCCTGGGCGTCCGGGGTCCCTGAGCTTCTGTTTTCTTTTCTCCGGCGGCCTGGCACCCAGAAATTTCAGAGACCGGCGCCGCTTGGACCGTCGGCCCGAGTCGCCCAGCTTCTCCTCTATCGGCCGGCAGAATGAGTCCAACGGCGAATCATGCCGCAGAGGCTGGGCCGGCGATCGAAGAGGACCTAATACGCGGCAGAGTAGGGCCTTCGCGGACTTTGTGCTCTTGTTTTTTTTTTTGCGATGCCTTGTTTCAGGTCACCTGTGCGATTGGTGGTTTGGTGATTCTGAGTTGAACCCCAACTGCTGGAGGGTCGGAAATCGGAAGGCTTCTTGGTAGTTTGGTGGTGGGTACAAAGGGAGACCAACTCCAAACAACTCACCAGGTACCCGGTACCCTCAACAGCATAAGCACAAATCCCCCATCAGGTCTCCGAAACTGAAGCCTTCATATTTTGGGGTAAACTAAGTTTGGACAGGAATCTCAATATCATATGTCTTTGTCAGGGTATCGCCTTTTCACTTGGGTGTTTGTCCAAATAGGGGGTGCCCGAAAAACGGGGAACTGTTCCTTTTGGGATTCCCGTGTAAACGACCCCAAAAAAAGGGCACCGAGCCACTCAAACATAAGCTCGTACTGTGGATGGTTGCGAAATCCATTTCGCACCAAGAGACCAAGCAAGATTTGACTCCCCTGCAACCCGTGTAAGCAAGAGCTTCAACCATGGATCCACAGCTCACTTCCTGAGTTCCTGGACTTTATGCTTTTTGAGAACACCCTATGTAGGCAAGCAACAAGCTTAAGTACTTGTTGTTGGTCAATCCACTCAGGAAGTGAGGTGTTTTTGTCATTTTCTCCGGGATGGCCGAAGTTCCAGGAATCTCCTTCTGTGGTACAACCGTCCTATGTTTACTTCTCCACAAAAGGGGGCTCTGGGCCTATCAGGGATAGGACGTGGCGCGCCCAGCGGGCGCGGCATGCTCAATAGTGACATTGCTCCCAAGATCCATGCAGGACAAGTAAATTCAACCAACCAAAAAAGGGAGGCCCTGTTCTTTCCCATGGAAAATTACTGGGCATCTGAGTCGAGGAATCTCCTTGGGACCTTTTGTTGGGTTCCTCGCTGTTTCCCATGGCTCACTTTCAGGTGGCATGGCTGCATTGTCAGCTCCCGGAGCTCCAACCGCTGACGCCCAACCTGGTGGCGCATCGAGGGTTCCTCACTTGCAACCGAATCTGACCCTTCCCGGGGGAACCCCATGTTGGTCCATGCGGGTGTTGTGGGTACCCTTTCTTTTTCGGGGTTGCTTTTGCGACAAATCAATTGAGAAGCACCATATGTCCTTGATTTGGTCATATTTTGTCAGTTATGGGACTCATTTGCAGATAACCCGTCCGAATATTTGATGCGAGCTTGTTAGAGGGTCCCTATTCACTCACCCGAGGAATTATGAAGTAGGCGGGACTCCACTCTCAGATTTTTTTGAGGGATGAACTCACCAGAGGGGACCTCTGAATCCCCCGATATCTGCACAAGGCCCCTTTCCAAAAAAGTCTTAGCCGTTTTGCGGGGTCTGGGGTCTCTGCACTTCCATGGGAGGGTAACCTTCCTGAGTTTTAACGATACCTCACCAGGTGCGCACAGCCCTTACCCCCGCACCCCCCGGTCGCTCGGGAGGTTCCACTGCCCCAAGCTGAGCCCCGAGCGCCCGCTGGAGTGCACCTTGGACGCGTACAAGCACGCCTGGCAGGCGGGCATCCTGCGCCTCGAGAAAATGAAAGGGGAAGGGAGGGGGGTTGCTGGGGGTGGGGGTGAGGGGGGTTCCCTTGAAACCAAGGAGATGGGGGGGGAGCACATCAATTTCGGAGATTTCTCACACAGCTCTCAAAGCAAACCTCTTAAAGTTTAAACTGCATGTGTTCTGTTTTGAGAGATGTTACCCACGCAATCACTTGAACCACGCCTCGTAGGCACTACAACCTATCTTCCTTCTCGCCACGTTTCCCTTCACCAACCAAGAATCGCTATGTATTTCAATACCTGTACACAAATCTCCACTTGACTGGTTCCCAGAAGAAAACATACGTGTTGATTCTCCATCATCCCCCTGGGATTCAAACAACTATTAAAACAAGGGGGGTTCAGAAAACCACCATTGTTTACTTCAGGATTGTCATCTAAATTGGGTCCATTCTGGGCGTTGAACCCTGCCACGTCCCTTGACCGATTTGAGGTCACCAGCTGCAAGAGCAAGTCGAGGTCTTTCTTGACCAAAGGGTCCGGGACCCATTACATTCCAGAAAGGGACGCTTCAGGGCCACATAAACAACACCTACGCCACAAACACCACCAACACCTAAAGAAAAAAGCCAACGCCGCCACCAACGCCACAAAGAAAAAACAGCACCAACACCCAAGTTTCACGGCAACCATGCGGCTCTTCCGCCCACATGGGGACCAAAAACCGGACGCGACCAGATCGCCCGCTCGGCCAAAGGAACTGCGAGTGCGACGTGCGGCTCAGCGCGGACGACAAGATTTTGCTGCTGCACGACGAGACTTTGGAGCGCCTGGTGCCGGAGGGATCCTCTCAGGCGGGAAACATGGCGGTGGCTAAACGACATGTATCAAAATGGGTGTGGCTCAAAACTAACGACCTGGGGTTACGCAGGTTTTAGTATGAGTCTCCACCAGCGAGTTGCTTTATTTTTGACCCACGGCCACATTGGCACCTGGGCAAAGTGGAACCAAGACGGACACCTGCCTCTTCCCTGGCTCATTAATTCTGAGCCACATATGTCAGGTCTCGTGTCCATAGGTGTCAGGTGTCGTGTCCATAGATGTGTCCGTTTGCTGAAATGAAGATGTTGTTTGTTTTATCTTGCCCTGTTGGTGTTAAAGGGAATCTATCTCTACTGGAAATATGATTGTATTTTTTCCACAGGGCTCAAGCAAATAGAAGATGGGTATCATGTTTAGTGTTTCTTTGTTTGGAGTCACTGGTTTTAGATTGGTATTATGCAAGTTTTGTCAGATTACACATTGGAGTCAACAGATTGCACCCGCACCAGGGAAACCCATCGATCTCAGGCTGACGAAGGTTGAGGGATAGTCCCCATGCCATAAACGAGTGCGGATATCCGCCGTTTTAGTCCTTAAAACATGGTTCTCGGCAGAGCATTTTCATGCCAGTTGTTGACTATGACCCAAATGTTTATTCAATGTGGATTCCAGCAATCCAACTGGTGCCAATCAGGATGCTGTTCAAACAATAGCATCTTCCCTTTTTATAGGTACGGGGTTTCCCTACCGGGGGTGTTTTTGTTCGACCCAAATCCAAAGTCCGACATGGCGCCAGGGCTTCCTGGTGGCTTCCCTTTAAAACCCAAAAACTGCGGGTAGACGAGCCGCCCAGGCGTTTTCTGTTTTGTTTGTGAGGCGCCCAAGGCGATCGAGGTGAAGGCGGAGGATTTGGCGAAGACCCCCCTGCGCCAGGCGGACATGTCAAAACGTGGCACCAACGAGCCCTACACGGGCTTTGCCGTTGGATCAAGTTGGTTGTGTTTGTGTGTTGATTTGTTTGTTTTGTCTTTTTTGTTGTGTGTGTGTGTGTTTTGTGTTTGTGTGTTTTCTTGTTTGATTCTGTTCATTTTTAGTCGGGGGCCGCAAAAAAAACATGTTTTTTGCTACCATACCAAGGGTTGTGAAGTGGGGGGGGGGGGGTACTGGTTCTTTTGGGGTTTAAATACTGTTTCTCGGGGTGACTTTGATCACGGCAACATGGGGGGTGATCATGATAAAATGGGGGGGTTCCCGAAATGGGTGTTTCTACAAACAAAGAAGCTTTTCAGGTTGATGTCCTTTTGGTTTCCTCTTAAGATCTCAAAAGGGGGCCCCAAGTTTTGATCAACGCCCACATGATGTCAGGGTCACGCCAGAGTGGGGTTAACGTTGGGCATCCGCCTGGGAAGGGTTTTGACCACTCCAAAGGGGCCATAGATCCAGCGGTTCATTCCAAAAAAACAGAGGAGAGGCCAATTGAGTTGGATTTCAAGCCCTGATGCTTGTGGGTAAATGGGAAGCCACCGACCTCCAAACTCAGCTTCAATCCAAGCCACCAAATACGACGGCAGCTGAATATGGGTGAGCGCTTGTTGGTAACCCCCTGGAAAAATGGGTTTTAACACCTTGAGGTTTTATTTTGCGATATGCCCCAAAATAGTTGGCACCCCAAAATAGTCGATTCCTTTTGGCTTCCCTTTAATACCAACCAAGAACGGTGCCATCCAAAAAAGGAACCACTCCAATATGTCGACTTTCAGCTGGTTTAAGCATCACCTTTAAGTTGCCACGTGGTTTTTAGTTTTCTCTTGGAGTGATGTTTGACGCGGATTTCGGGCAAAAGGCGAATCCAACCAGGACACTGCTCAAGTCGCACTATTGGAGGAAGCCTTGCGCACGGCCATCGAAACTGGAGGGAGTCTTGGCTTTGTCGTCTTCTACGGATCGGACCCCCTTCCCCTAGCCAAGTGGTGCATGTCCTTACGGTAGTTACTTTAAAACCCGCGAAGAAAAAAAAAGAGTTAACAGTCGAAAACAGACACCCAAATATGTAGCATGTCCATTAAACCTACAAAACGTCCATTTGCCTTCCAGATTTGTTGTTTTTCCCTGTTGGTGTTTCAAGGCAATCTATCACTACTGGAATTAGGTTCTCCTTTTTCCAGTGGACGTATCCGATGCAAGGAAAGGTGGGTCTGGGTCAAAATTAAACCACCAGGGGACCGCAGGTTTTAGTCCATGTTTCCATTTACCAGGGTTCCATTTTGGGTACCTATTTTTGACCCACAGCCAGGTGATCGACCCTCTCCTCGTTTTTTTCTTGCGGGGGCAGCCCAGGAGTATGGTGGTTGAGCTGAAAGCTACTCCAGGATCTTCCAGAGTTGGACAAGCAGTGCCTCGCCTATGCGTATGCGCCCGGTTTGGCTGTGACATATTGTTTTTTTCTCTTGAGCCGAAGTGGACATCATTTACCATGGGAATTCATCTAACATGTTGGAGGCGGAGTCCGAATACTCATGTCTATTTGGGTTAGTCTTGCTTGGGACAAGAGGAACCCCGTTGCAATGTTTTGGCTCAGCCGACTTTGAGTGGCAGCCTTGTCAGCAAGAAAAACCAGACCTAACAAGCCAGACCGACGTGTTTGGTCTAAAGCATTACAAGGCCAAAACCGGACTTAGCAACTAAAACCAGACCTACCTGTTTTACAAAATAGGGCGCAACTCTATCATCTAGCAACTTAGGCCATGCCTTTCAACAGAAAGCAGCCCGACTCTACAGCTGTTGTTATCTCGCTCCCTGAGTTCCAGGACTTTGTTCGCTTTTTGGGTTTGTACCATGTTGGATGGCAAACTAAAAGTTAGTCTGGTGAGGTTTGTTGGGCCTTCCCACTTCGGAAGTGGTTTTTTGTTGTCGCCATGTTTGCCTTACTTGCCCAAGGCCAACCCCTTTTGACCTTTCGGTGTCCATGTTTGGTCAACCTTGAGTCCAGGTAAAAAACAAAGAAACGGTTGATCACCTGTTTGTTCTAGGTCCCTAAAAGACGAGTCCTGTTTTTTGTTTCCAATTGAGTGAGCGATTCTGGGTCCCGGGGCAAGGGAGAAAGCTCATTTCCAAGTGACTGAAACCAAGCGAGCTTGAGCTAAGGGAGCCGGCCAAACTTAGGTCGCAAGTGATTCTGGGTGCATCAGGCGAGCTTTGGACCCTGAGCTAAGCCTGAGCTTGTCCGAGCTGGCAGGTGATTCTGGGTCCCGGTTCCGCTGAGCTTTTATAAGCCCAAACGGGGCTTGAGCCGACTCGAGCCGACTCGAGCCGGCAGGTGGCTCATTTGTTCGCCGAGAAGCCGGAGCTTTTGGCGGCCTGCGTGGTGGTGATGTCCTTCGACCTCAGCGAGCTGCGAAGCTTCGCCGCCGCCTTCCCGAAGGAGCTGCGGCGGCCCAAGGTCTTGCTCCTCACCTGCCATCCGAGGCTCGGCGCCGAGAACGACATGGAGCCAGGGGGGTCTAGGTCCAGCAATCGGTGCCCGACCTCTCACCCCTTTCTTTTTTGGGGAGGGGAGGGTTCCCCTACTAAAGCAGACAAAAAAGGAAACAGGGTACCCTTATTCTAACCTCTCTGCTGGAGGACCTAGAGGTCTTTTTGCCACCTTTTTGTGGACAATTAATCGACCCCCTCGTAGTGAAGAATTCCTTTTTGAGGGGGTCAGCAATTTTCTCACAAAAGGTAGCAAAAATACACCCCTGGATGGAGCCATCCCCCCAATTTGGCAGCGATGTCCTTCCAAAAGGTTGAGACCCGAAACAGGACAGGATGGTTCCTCAGTTTCCAGCGAATCGTCTGGTTCCAGAAAGGCTTTTACATGTCAGTTGGTTGGGTGGATGGGTGTCCATTGAACCCACCAGTCAAAAGCTTTTAGCAAGGGATTTGAGCATAGCCATGGTTCCTGAATATTCAGACATTTGTTTTTGACCTGTGGCAGTTTTGTTGGAACCCACCTGAAGGGGGAGTACAGTGACCCCTGCACCCCAAGGGCCATCAGATGGGTTGAGCTCGCTCACTTCCCGAGTTTTTCGCACTTTCCGACCTTTCGGAGGCCGATCCACTCGATCGGAAGCGAGAATCCTGGCCCATTTTCCCGTGGCTCGATGCTTTCTACCCCTCCCCTGTTCTAAGTCTCAACACATCTTTGGCTCGATCGGACGTGAGGGACGTGACCAAAGATTCTGGCTTGACCGCCATTTGACAGCAAAACATTTGGGGGTGGCAGTCCTTTAGATGTATTCCAATATGAGTCTGTCTCAAAATGGGGGGGGGGGGGTACCTCAAGAAAATGTGGTTTTCCTTTTTGATTTCACTTTAAAACCAACCCAAAAATGTGGTGTTCCTTTTTGATTTAACGTTGAAACCAAGCAAAAGGGGTTCTACCAAGAAAAAAACACATGTCGCAATCTAGCGTTTGGCACTCAGGAAAGAGACGCTGAATGCTTGGCACCAAACCATCGACCTGGCAGAACCACATTGGCCAGAGGTGGTGGAGAAGCACTTGGCTTGTGAGGCCTGGCAGTGCCGAATGACCATACGGCTTCATGGCATGTTTGGTTGTGTAAATTGGTGACTATGAGTTTTAGTAGCGAACAACCTCAAAAGTGGCTGGGGGATATGAATCCCCACCTAAATGATGTCCACCAAAGTCTTTCCAATGAACAATTCTAGGGGTTGATTCCTTGTCCATTCTTTTCAACCATCGTTCTTTTCAAAAACCGATCGCTGTTTCCCCTTGGATTCCGCTGGTTTTCTGAAAAGAAGGATCCAGGATCCCTGGAAAGAATTGGGAAGTGCCCCCTAGAACTGTGATGGCGAAAATCCATTTCGCGCCACTTTGAATCCGTGGTTGAAGCCATTGTTTGTTGTTACTGAGTGAATGCTCATTCCAGGGTTTCTAGGTGGTGCGAAATGGATTTTCTCCATCCACAGTATCACTTGCCATTACACCAGCCTCGACCCCAAACAGCAAAAAAGCATGACAGGTCTGCATAACCCAAAAAAGGCGTGTCTCCTTCATGTAAGGTGCGAAATTGAGTAGCTTATGTGAGCAACACATAGTTACAATCAGTCTATGTGTGTCCCTGTAGGAAGTCCCCTTTTTTGGGAAGAGGACACATCGGCTCCATCCATCTCCTTGACGCCGGGTACAAGCATCGATGTTGTATCGACTTCGAGGAGGAAAATGCCATGTCAATACCATGTTCGAGAGTGAAGGCCGCAGGGATTCGGGGTGAATCAACCTAACACCTGGCATTGAAAGGAAGTTTCGAAGGAACTTCCGTAGTACGGACACTCAGTGCACTTTTCCATCACCGCAGCATTTGGTGGCCGTCTCGCTACTCTGCTGAAACTTGCGCAGCAGTCTCAGCAGCTTGTGGCCGAGACTGGGCACATGCCACTTCGGGTTGCTATTTTCTTCTCGAGCTCGGCTAAAGGTCTTGCCACAAGCAAAGCAAGAGAGAACTTCCATAAACTTGCAGACTGCGGCGTTAGCAACTCTTTTTAGATTATACAGCCACCGAACATGTGTCGAAACATGGCCATGACCGTGTGTTGCAATTACCACATTGAGCACCCGAGCCGCCATTCCGCAATGTTGCTGGGGAGCTCGCCACGCACGCAGAGTGTCCAGCAGCGCCGAAACCTTTTGCGAGAACGGGTCGGAATCGGTGTTCAAGGCGTAGTGGAGGCGAAGCTGTGTCGTCAAAGCAGAAATGGATGGGCCATGTCTTCAGCACGTGTTGCTTCGGTGAGCGATGGCCTTGATGCTATCAGCACATCCCTCCAGCTTGGTTTCCCGACAAGCCACGTATGCTGAGAGAATGAAATGGAATTGCTCGGATTTCCAAAATTCTCACTGCGGGAGGCTAGCACAAGCGCCATGCAATACAGCTTACGATGAACCCCTTTGGTGTTCCATGGGTCCAGAGACTGTAGGGAAGCTAGCGCCTCAGAGAATGATAATGGCACCTTACGACGTCCCACCATGAAAACCCTTGAGCCCTTGCACTTGCAAGCCCTGACCACTTTCGGACACGTGCAAAACAGCAAAATTTGTGGAAAACAAGGCTGGGAAATCTGTCTTCAACCCTTCTGTCAGGAGGCAACAAGATATGTCAAAGCTGCGACCTTGGCACCACGAAGGTGTGAAATGCTTCAGCAAAATGCGTTTGTCAGTGGGACTGGATTACACAGGTTGCAAAGAGGAAAAAGCGTCGCAGGGCCAGCTAGCGAAGCGAAAGACTGGATATGATTTTGGCCGGGCCACATGGCTATCCAACTGAGAAGGTGCTAAATACTGGCAACAAGATAGGAGGCGAGGTTTACAACAGCACTGCCAACAAGAAAGGGTGCTCGAACTACAGTGATGCTACCAAGAGGAAACTAGAAGATGGGTGGCCCGAAAGCATGAGCAGTGCACGGCGCCAAGTAATCCTAGCAAGTTCTCTGCGCAAGTTCCTCTGAGCAAGCAAGTTCTCCAAGCAAGTTCTTGGCACCAATTATCTGAGCAAGTTCTCAGAGCAAGTTTCTCTGAACAAGTTTCAATGAGCAAGTTGTCTGAGCAAGCTCTCTGCGCGCAGCGCTTGCCGCAACACACTGCAACTTCCTAGTGCAACTCACTACTGCAACTTGCTAGTGCCACTTGCTGGCGCTACTTGCTAGTGCCACTGGCTAGCGCTACTGGCTCGTGCATCTCGCTAGCGCTATCTTGCTCGTGCTACTGGCTTGCGCCATTTTGCTAGTGGCATTTTGCTAGTGCAACTCGCTAGTGCTACTTGCTAACGCAACTTGCTTGCACAACTTGCTGGTGTCGTCCGCTGGAGGTCTTTTCTGCAGCGCTCCTGCATCCCTAGCATCATCAGTCGCCTAGAGCCCCCCTCCCCCCGCTTCATACGATTTTGGCTAAGATGGTGGCTGACCCGCGCAAGCCCTCTAGTTGCTTCGCTGGTAAAATGCTTAGTGGAGCCGTGCCCCTTCTCCATTCCAAGGGTTTGTTGACTCGGAGCAAAACTGTCAACGAAGCCGTCGACTTCTCTGTGGCTCATCACCATCACACTCATCATCACCCGCCTTCTCCTCATCACCATCCTCATCCCTCATCCTCGTCATCCTGACCCTCATCACCATCATCATCATCATCATCGTCACCACCTTCATCAGCCACAGAATCAACCGAATCCTCATCCACCCTCATCATCACAGCGCTGCAAAAGTCCAAGCTAAATGCCTTGTGCTTATCCCCGAAACTAATTGTTTGCCACCTGTCCACCTGCGCACCTGCATTCATGGCCAGCACTTGCAAATGCCAGCCCAGTCTGGTCAACGCCACAAATGGATAGAAGGCACCAAGCGGAAAAAGGCCACCAGGAAAACATGTCAAGAAACCGCTTTTTACACCTTGTCCCCGCCAGAAGTCCGACAGCGCTAAGTGTGTCTCCGCTGTCGAGTCAGTCAAGGCCACTTGGCTGGGCTCTGCTGATGCGCCGCAAGGATGCAAACCTGCACTTGACCAAGAAGCGCGGCACTGGCTTCCAAAATGCAGCTCAGTATCCTGAGCAAAGCAATCAGCCGGATGTCCCAGTATATTGTTTCACCAACAGACACATCAAAGGCTCGACAGGGCTCTGCTGATGTGCCACAAGGATGCAAACCTGCAGTTGACCAAGAAGTGCGGCACTGGCTTCCAAAAAGCAGCTCAGAATCCTGAGCCAAGCAATCAGGCGCATGTCACGGTATTTGTTTATCCAGAACAAAAGTACATATTCAAGGCTTGACAGGGCTCTGCTGATGCGCCAGAAGCACTGGCTTCCGAAAAGCAGCTCAGAATCCTGAGCAAAGCAATCAGGCGGATGTCACGGTATATTTGTTTATAGAACAAAATGGAGGGCTCTGCTGATGCGCCACACGGATGCAAACCTGCAGTTGGCCTAGAAGTTCGGCGCTGGCTTCCACAAAGCAGCTCAGTATCAGCCGGATGTCACGGTATTTGTCTATCGAAAACAATCCAACAATTTAAGGCTCGACAGGCGCCACAAGGATGCAAACCTGCGCTTGGCCAAAAAGTCCGGCACTGGCTTCCAAAAAGCAGCTCAGTTCCCGAGCAAAGCAATCAGCCGGATGTCACAGTATATGTTTTTTATCGAGAAACATAGACACATTTAAGGCTTGACAGGGCCCTGCTGGTGCGCCACAAGGATGCAAACCTGCACTTGGCCAAGAAGTGCGGCACTGGCTTCTAAAAGCAGCTCAGTTTCCTGAGCAAAGCAATCAGCCGGATGTCACAATTTGTTTGTTTATCGAGAAAAATCGACATATTATTTAAGGCTCGACATTGCTTGCTTCTAGCTCCAACGATGCTCCACAAGGATGCAAAGCTGCGCTTGACCAAGAGAGAGGCACATCCTTTGCACACGACCCCGGAGCCGGCGTCACAGCGTCTGGCATCTGACCGCAGAGACTGGAGATACAGGGCCCGGAGCCGGCGTCACAGCATCTGGCATCCGACCGCAGAGACTGGGAAACACAGGGAGACAAGCGGGAAATGGGAGACACAGGGAGACAAGCGGGAGACCCAACCCCGGAGCCAGCGTCACAGCATCTGGCATCCAGACACACACAGAGAGACAAGCGGGAGACAGGCATCCGACCGCAGAGACTCGGAGACACAGGAGGACGAGACTGGGAGATACATGGAGACAAGCGGGAGACACGACCCCCGGAGCCGGCATCACAGCATCTGGCATCTGGAGACAAGCGGGAGACAACCCCGGAGCCGGCGTCACAGCATCTGGCCTCTGACCGCAGAAGCTGAGGGAGACAAGCGGGAGACACGACCCCGGAGCCAGCGTCACAGCATCGCACAAACTGCGAGACACAGGGAGACGTCACAGCATCCGGCCTCCAGACACAGGGAGACAAGCGGGAGACACGACCCCGGAGCCAGCGTCACGTCCGACCGCGGAGACTGGGAGACACAGGGAGACGAGGCTGGGAGACACAGGGAGACAAGTGGGAGACACGACCCCGGAGCCGACGTCACAGCGTCTGGCATCTGACCGCAAGACTGCGAGACACAGGGAGACAAGCGGGAGACGACCCCGGAGCCGGCGTCACGGCATCTGGCCTCTGACCGCAGAAACTGAGGGAGACAAGCAAGAGACACGACCCCGGAGCCAGCGTCACAGCAGCGCAGAGACTGCGAGACACAGGGAGACAAGCGCGGGAGACACGACCCCGGAGCCAGCGTCACAGCATCTGGCAGACAAGCGGGAGACACGACCCTGGAGTCAGCGTTACAGCAACCGGAGAGACTGGGAAACAGGAAGACAAGCGGAAAACAGGACCCCGGAACCGGCGTCACACTTTCCCATTCTCTATACCTCAAGTTAGAACCCCAGTGTTTGGGGAATGAGGATTTGTCTCAAGCTTAGATTTCGGTGCTCCATTTGGTTCAACTCTTGGAAACCAACGCTTTAAAACCAACCAACAAGAAGTTCCCCTAAAAAAGACGCACATGCGGTCTAAGATTGCAGGTCACTGCTTGAATCGATGCCTTGCCTTTTTGGCAAGGTGAGGTCTCTCACTTAATTGGCAATATAGTCATAGGTGGACGAAATCCATGTCGCACCACCGTTCAGAAAAATTCTGGAATGATTCGATTCTCCTGCAAATACCAACGAACAACGGTTTCAACCATGGCTTTAAAGTGGTGCAGGATTTTGTCCATCCACAATAAGGATAGCCATCAACCCCTGCTTGTCTGAAGGGCTACATACAGCCATGGGCACGGTTCACATCAAGCGACACAGGGAGTCTTGATCATGCCACACACGGTGCCAGCGATAAACTTGCAGCTTCGCAGGAACTTGCGTTGGATGGCTTCTACATCGAGTGGACGGCTAAGCTATCCACCGAGCATGCAGACTCATTCAGCAAGCTTTGCCGCTCGGAGCACGAAACCAATGATTCGATTCCGCTGGGCGGCTGTCACACCTGGAGACTACGTGTCAAGAACTTCCATTTGCTTTGGAAGATGTTGGTTTTAAAGGGCATCAGTTTCACTACTGGAAATATGTTTATATTTTTCCAGGACGCTTAAGCAAATGGAAGCGTCCATAAAGTGCCCCTAATGCTAGACTCTGGATGTATGGAACCGGGCATAGCTTCGAAGCAAGCGGGTCGCGCCGAAGCTTCGTACTGTCGACCAGGGCACTTACCCCCGTCGGCTTTCACATTGCAAACATTTTGCTGGGCTATAACCACGTCCCACGAGACTCCAAAATGGCGGTGTCTCTAGGTTGTGGATTCCCTTTTGGGTTGGTTTTTTAAAAGGACGCCACGAGGAAACCCACTCAAAATGGCCCTCGCTTTCCTATGGTCCTTTGCATCCCTGGGCCCGCGGATTTTTTCCGAATAGGCAAAAATTGTCGTATGCACTCCTTGAAAAATACTGAAAGTTCAGACCTTTTTCTGGCCAATCCACTCAGGCAGTGAGAATCAATCATTTTCCCAACATGGCTTAATCTAGATTTCCGCATATGCCCTGTTCTAATTGTTTAGCCACTTACGATAGATGTCCTTTTGTTGTGATGTTATGTTTGGTGTTGCTTTAAAGCAACCAAAAGGGTGTCCCCAAAAGACCACACGCACCACGTGTTTCTCTCCCAGGGGCACGGTATTCCTAAAAACAAAACGGAAAAACAAGCGGAACCGATTTTATTTGTCCAGAGATATGGAACAGCTCTGGGAAAATCCCAGGAAGCTCAAAAAGAACCCGAGGCTGAACCTCGCGCGCAAGGGTGTCTTGAAGTACCCCCACCCCCCTCCCCCTCCCCATTTGTCAACATGTTTAGAGGTCTAGTCTTAACACATACACAACAGGGCAACTACTCAAGCCAACACAATTGACCCTATGATTCGCGGAGAGGACAAATGGCAATTCGCATGCGCAGCATGTTGGGGTGTTTTCCGCCTAACCAACACAGCTCGAGTAGTTACTCCCTGCCTTGGTTTTGCCTGAGGTCAAAGAGCCGTGGTTGGCGTGTGGCAAGCACATGGCCAAGTCGACTCGAAAGAGGAGGCAGGATATTTGATACTTGTGTAGGCGGCTCAAAGCCTCCAACCAAATGTGTTTGCCTGTGTGTGTGTGTATGTGCGTGTGTGTTTTGAGAATACCCCTTGTTTGGTGGTTTTGAAAGAAATGCAGAAGGAAATCTGTTGCAAAGTTTTTATTCAGAGTTTTCCTTGCGGCCGTAGGAATGTTTTTTTTGCGACAGTGAACAATTATTGGCGGCTTGCCAAACTTGTCCCAAGAGAAAAAGGGTTGCTCCGAGTGTTCCAAAGATGATCGAACCGGAGGGATGTTCCGGCCCGAGGACTACTGTTCCACCTCTGCCGGGGTGTCAGAGCAAACACTGGCCGAAAGGACCACTGTCCGTCTTGGTCAGTTTGCTTTGAAATACGCACTAGATTCAGTTGTCTTTTTTTGCCAGTGCCATCTATTTCTCCAAAAGGCACCCAACACAAGGAAACCCTTTTCGGGAGAGGACCCAAAATTGTTGTGTTTTTCTTTTTTTTTGTTCTCTGGGTTGAACCGACAGAATCAATTCTCCCATGGCCGCAGCAAGAGCCCTGAGGCGGCACGATTGGTGGAGCTGGGAGCGACCTTCTGCAACACAGACTTGCCCCGAAGCTTCTCCTAGGAGCAGCGATTTCCAGGCGACACCCCAAGCTTCCTTGTTTTCTTTTCGGGTAAAGAAAGCTTGTGGTTTGCATTTGGATTTGGACTTGCACCCCCGTTCCTTCTGAAAAGCAAAAGAACCGAAGGTCGAGACGATCAGCTCCAAGGAGCTTTCGGTTTCTCTTGTGATGGTCATGGTGTAAGGCCCATTTGAGCAGCTCCATAAACCCCCCGTTACATCCCAAGCAAGAGTTGTGTCATAACAAGGCCCCGCGTAAGCAAAGCCCTGCATGGCGTACGCTGGCGTAAGCTCTTTATAGAGTCGCTCATTTGAAGCTTTAGAACTGTCTTAGAACCAAAGGTCAACTGCTTTGGGCTGCTCAATTGCTGTTTGGATTGGTGGCGGCTAAGAGATGGCTCCCCATCGGCCCCGGGGTTTAAGGCAAAAAACGAGTAAGTCCTGTTTGAGGTTGCTCTTTTTTAAAACTGCAAAAGAGGTGAAGCCAAGATTGATGGATAAGTTTAGCTCTTCAGGCCGGTCCTTGAACCTTGCGGGTGCAGGGGTGCAGGGGCTAATACGGCTTCATGGCCTGTCTGGTTACATAAATTGATGGCTATGAGTTTGAGTAGCGAACAACCTCAAAAGTGGTCGGCGGATATAAATCCCTATCTAAATGAAGTCTACCAAAGCCTTCCTAATCAACAGTCATGAGCTAGTCTCTATCTTTCCAAGTTCCACGTTGATTTGCTTCATGTCTCGCCTAGAGTCAGA